TTTTTTTTTTGTTTATTATTCTTTCTTATCCTTTTTTTTATATGGTTTCACGTTTTTGTGCAGGTGTGTAGAGCAAATAAACAAGGCCAGCCGTGGAGATTTGAGCCCAGAGGAGTTGAAAGAGAGACAGGTTTGATATACACATGCATGTACACACACGAACACACATAATATGGATTAGCTAAGCTTATGTCGCACTTGTAATATTTGCCTCACAATATTATTTCAGGCCAAGGCAATGCAAGACCCTGAGATTCAGAACATCCTTACAGATCCTGTAATGAGACAGGTATGCTGAAGATTTTTGTTCAAATTGTAAATGAATTCATTATCGGATCTTTGATAATGATATGATGGTGTTCATTGATTCCGATGATCAATTCTGTTTATATAGGTGTTAGTCGACTTACAGGAAAACCCAAAGGCTGCACAGGAGCACACCAAGAATCCTCTTGTCATGAATAAAATACAGAAGCTCATTAGTGCAGGAATTGTTCAAATGAGATAGGCAGTATAGCAAGAAAGAGTTTTTTTTTTTCTTTTTTTTTTTCTTTTTTTTTTTTTCTCGAATTCACGTGGAATTATAATGGATGTGTAGGGATCGTGGCTTTCGATAATTTTTTCCATGGAAGTGTTTTTGTTTTTGCTGTTCTTCGAAATTTTACTTGCTTCTTGCTTTTATATGCCTGAACCTTTGAAACTTGAATGCAAATGCATAAATGAGAATGATAAGATAACATTGTTAAAAAAAAAAAAATGTCTTCTTTTCTGCACTATCTGTGTGATCTAGCAATGTTAACTTATAGGTACTGTGAACGAGTATAATGGAAAATCTAAAGAGCATTGATCTGTATGATAGTTGTGGCATACCTTTTTTATATTATTTATAGTTTTGGTGGTATCAGCATATAATTTTTAATATAACGTTATATTTATGAACATTGAAATAATTTAATTGTTATCAAAATTATTACTTAAAATTATAATTACATACAATGATCATTACATTAGCCATGCAAATATAATTTTCCTACAAAAATAAGATTGATACTTTAGTTTGACAATACACAACAGTAATTGACTTTTACTATGCCAAACAATGGTTATTATCCATCTTCACAAGTTTACACATGGATTTTAGACAAGGTAACAGAGTCCATAAACCCTACAAACATCACTCTGAGATACACACACAAACCACCCAATAAATAAAAAGTTAAAAACACAAGTTCCATATCAAAACTGATTTGGTAAGTTCACAAACCTCTAACAGACAACCAAACCCATTTTCTTGCCTTGCATAACACATCCATCCTTTCTCCAGTTTGCTTATTGTTTCTTACAAAAAAAAAAAAAAAAAAGAATCAATAGTTTAAATGATACAGTAGTTTTTCTTTTTTTACTGCTCGTCGTTAGACATCGTCAAGCAGCAGCAACAGCCTCCCCTTTTGCCGCCAGCTGGTTCTGAATATGTAGAGGAACAACATCGAATCTGGCCAACTGCATGGTATAGGAAGCTCGCCCTTTTGTTGTTCCTCTAAGTGTGCTCACATACTGAAACATCTCGGCTAAAGGCACCAATGCATCAACCACCTAAAACATACGAAGATCGTGACAAAAAAAGTCACGGGCCATTAGATTAGGAATCGATTTTCAACCGGCCCATGAAAATGTATCGATGTAACATAAAGGAAAAAGGATAAAAAGAAGGGCAAAAAAATTGTGTATTTACCTTCAATCCACCGGGTTTATCTCCAAAGTTGTCGATCTGACCTCTTCTCGAGTTGAGATCGCCAATAACATCCCCTAAATGCTCTTCTGGCGTGACAACCTCAACTTTCATAATCGGCTCGAGCATCTGTGGGCCCGCCTTTCTCATCCCTTCCCTGAATGCACCTCTGGCCGCCAGCTGGAAGGCCAGCACACTAGAGTCGACATCGTGATACGACCCATCGACCAAGACTGCACGAACTCCGACAACAGGGAAACCCGCCAGCACACCGTTGGACATGCATTCTTCCAATCCTTTCATGACACCTGGAATGTACTCTTTCGGTACAACTCCTCCTTTAATCTCGCTTTTGAACTCGTACCCAGTTCCGCCCTCGAGAGGCTCGAACCTGATGCTGACCTCAGCGAATTGACCAGCGCCTCCCGACTGTTTCTTGTGGACGTACGTGACTTCTGTGACCCGGGAAATGCTCTCCCGATAATTCACTTGGGGTGCTCCCACATTCGCCTCCACCTTTTTAAGCCATAGCAGCCAAAAATAAAACAAAATCAACAGAGATCTATATCGTAGATATTGCGGCAATAGAGAATTTTAAGTGTGTCAAATGATAATTGTAAAAGTTTTATCTACAATAACTAGAAATGTTGATCAACATTTAGAGAAGAAACAAACCTTATATTCCCTCTTAAGCCTATCAACAATAATCTCGAGGTGCAACTCTCCCATTCCTTCGATAACCGTTTGATTGGTCTCTTCATCTCTCGAAAAGTGGAAAGACGGGTCTTCTTGAGCTAACTTAAGCAACCCAGCTGCCATCTTATCGATATCGGCCTTAGTCTTCGGCTCGATTGCAACCTTAATCACAGGGTCCGGGAAGTCCATCCGCTCGAGAACAATAGCATTATCAGGATCACACAATGTTTCTCCCGTAATTGTATCTTTTAACCCTGCAAGTGCAACAATATCACCGGTCAATGCCGCCTTAATATCCTCCCTACTGTTCGCATGCATTTCAAGGAGTCTCCCAATCCTCTCCTTCTTCCCTTTATTCGCGTTCAGCACATATGACGAGGCATCAAGCTTCCCCGAGTAAACCCGGACGAACGTAAGAGACCCCACGAAAGGATCACTCATAATCTTGAAAGCCAAACCAGCAAAAGGCTCGTCATCACTCGCTGCCCTCTCGATCACCAACTCGGGATCCTCCGGGTCTGTTCCCTTCATAGGCGGTAAATCAATGGGGGAGGGCAAGAAATCCACAACAGCATCCAAAAGTGGCTGAACCCCTTTATTCTTGAAAGCCGATCCGCATAAAACCGGAACAAAGCTAGCCGAGAGCGTGCCTTGCCTGATCAATTTCTTCACCATACCCTCGTCCGGCTCGATCCCTTCAAGATAACCCTCCATGGCCGCATCATCCAGTTCGACTACTGTCTCGATCATCTGGGCCCGATACTCCTGAGCCAGCTCAACAAGATCCGAAGGGATCTCTTCGTACGAGAATTTCGCCCCCAATTCCTCCCCGGACCAAATAATCGCCCGCATTCCGATAAGATCGACAACCCCTTTGAAAGTGTCTTCCGCACCAATCGGGAGTTGAAGCACGAGTGGCTTCGCGCCGAGGTTCGTGATGATCATGTCCCTCGTCCGGTAGAAATTTGCACCTAGCCTGTCCATCTTGTTGACGAAACATATTCGTGGGACACCGTATTTATCAGCCTGCCTCCAGACAGTCTCGGACTGGGGCTCGACTCCAGCCACACTGTCGAACAAGCAGATGGCCCCGTCAAGGACACGAAGCGCACGCTCGACTTCGAGCGTGAAGTCGACGTGGCCGGGAGTGTCGATGATGTTGATCCGGTGCTCGTTCCAGAAAGTGGTGGTGGCGGCAGAGGTTATCGTGATACCCCTTTCTTGCTCCTGCTCCATCCAGTCCATGGTGGCAGTGCCTTCATGGACCTCACCAATTTTGTAGTTGCGGCCCGTGTAGTAAAGGATCCGCTCGGTGGTTGTGGTCTTGCCCGCGTCTATGTGGGCCATGATGCCAATGTTGCGATAGTCTTGCAGTGGAACCGATCTCTTCTCGCCTGTGTGGGAGTTTGGGGGAAAGAAGAATATAAAGGAAAGGTTAGGGCTTTTGTAGTGTTTTAATTTTGTAATGAGTTTGAGAGCACTTTTTTTTTTTTTTTCACATTTTCAGTGTGTCATTCATCAAGATGATCAATTGCAATCTTGCAGATTATTGTACAGTATCTCGGGCAGATAATTTCGAACACAAAACGTTCTATGATTGTTAGCAGAGGGATTTTGATGATTTTCATCAACATCGTCAGGTAAGAAAATGATCGTTATCCGATTAACTCACAAAACTGCAGAAGCTAAATTCACATTATTCATCCGTCAACGAGGCCTTTCAACAATTTCATTAACATCGCCAGGAGTAATCTTACAAATACAATATAGTTTAGCTCAATTTACTTGTTCAGTCTGCTGTCTTTGATGATTTTCATAAAAAATAATCATATGGGTTAAACCAAACAGACACAACCATTACTCCATCGTGAGCTAGACAGAAGCAAAATGCAAACTATAATCAACTCCATTCAAATCACAGACTTAGCTAAGCCTCCACCTCCTAAAGCATTTCAATTTGAATGAAAAATCATCTACTAAACAATAAAACAACAAGATTAACATCGACACCCAGAAAGCGACTCGATTGCCGGAATAACAAAAGCACAAATTTTCCAACAGGAACAGAACAACAAAATACAAAAAAAAATTAGAAAAGGGGTGTGATCGAATTATACCAGCAGCCATTGCACAGACAGAAAATTTCATTCTTTGCTGTTTGTTTTGCAGAGCTGAGAGCCTCGCAGCAGTAGAACAGAGCCTCAGGCTCCCGAGAAAAGAGGAAGATAGAGCTCGAACCCTCTGAGAAGAATAACTCCACTTACGGCGTCGTGGAGACTGAGAGGCCGCGGCCAAAGGTCTTCTCGAAGAACCACTGAAGTTGCAGACAGCGTTGGACGACAAATTCATCATCGATTCAGTCGATACAGCCGCCATTTTTCCTAATCTCCACACACACAGTGGCACACACTAGTGTGTGTCTACTGCTCTTGGGCTGGTGAAGGGATTAAAACTGTGGAAAGTCGCGTGAAGGGATAACGAGCAAGGAATTGAAGATTGGGTTTTTTTTTTGTATGAGGGCAAAAATAAAAATTTTGTGGACGAAAATAAATTGAAGTTTTTTTTTTTTTTTTTTTTTTTTTTTTTTTTTTTTTTTTTTTTTTTTTTTTTTTTTTTTTTTTTT